GTCAAATGCTCAATTGCACGAGAGTGAGATTGATCCGTTGAAAGTCGCGATTGTCGCTTGTGGAAACAACTTTCAGTGCGGAAACCAAATGGGACTTCAGGAAAAGTATCGAAACAAGTTGAAACACCTGAACATCAACTATGGTTTGAACTTTCTGGATACGGATCTTATTGGGATCACCAGTGAGTTGTTGAACACGAAAGGCGAGGGGTACACAATCGGTGCGGCTTCGGCCAGTGGAAACATGGGACTTGTGCAAGGCGCTCGATTGATCGAAAGTGGCGATTACGATGTTGTTATTGTGATTGCACCAATGATGGAAATGTCCATTTACGAATACGTTGGCTTTACCGAAATGAGTGCGATGTCCACCTTGAAAGAGGATAAAAACGTTTCAGCCATTTGTCGTCCGTTTGATAAAGATCATTCTGGATTCGTGTTCGGAGAAAACGCTGGATGTATCGTTCTTGAATCTTCTGAACACCTGGGTAAACGTAACGCAAAATCTTGGGGACAAATAAAGGGAACAGGTGTTGTTCTCGATGGTAACCGGAATCCAAATCCTTCTATGGAAGGAGAGTCGGCTGCAATGAATAAAGCACTGCAAAAGGCCGGGATTTCATCCTCAGAAATTGACTATGTAAACATGCATGGAAGTTCTTCTCCTTTAGGTGATCGAACGGAAGTGGAAGCTGCTCAGAACGTTGGGCTGACCAATGCATGGGCGAACAGTACAAAATCATTGATTGGACATGGAGTAGTGGCAGCAGGACTTGTAGAAGCCGTAGCGTCCACAATTCAGTTGAATGAAGGATTTGTGCACGCATCAAACAACTTAGAGAATCCCATTGACTCTGAAATGAAATGGGCAGTAAAACAAGAAGAATGTCCTGAGTTAAAATGGGCAATCACCAACAGTTATGGATTTGGGGGGATTAACACTTCCCTGGTAATTAAGAAAAACGAAAACTAGATGAAAGCTGGAATTGAAGCAATGAATATTTACTGCGGGTCTGCTGCGATTAACGTACGTGATCTTGCAAAAAGAAGAAACCTTGACAATGAGCGTTTTGAAAATCTTCTAATGATGGAGAAAACGGTTCCTATGCCGTATGAAGATCCGGTTTCCAATGCGGTGAACGCTGCAAAACCTATTCTTGACCGAATGAGCGATGATGAGAAAGCCAGCATCGACATGGTTATCACTTGTACAGAATCAGGATTGGATTTTGGAAAATCACTGAGTACGTATGTGCACCATTACCTGGAATTGGGACGTAACTGTCGCTTGTTCGAGATGAAGAACGCATGTTATTCAGGAACTGCTGGTTTTCAAATGGCGGTCAACTTTGTTTTCTCTCAAGTAGCTCCAGGAAAAAAGGTCTTGTTGATTTGTACAGATATCACACGAATGTCTGTGGTTGAAGGGCTTTCTGAATTGGCTTTTGCTGAGCCTAGTTCTGGTTCAGGTGCAGTTGCGATGATCATTAGTGATAATCCGTTAGTCCTTGAAGTGGAT